TAAATGACATGTCACCACAATTATTTTTAAATAATTTGAAAGCACAAGAAGTTAATTTATATTGTAAAATAATCTAAATAATTTATCTAATTTTTAATTTTATGATATAAAATTAAATATATACATATATATGACATAATTTTTTAAATAAATATAAAATTCAAAAATTTTTAAAATATCTTGCAGTTAATATATAATATTGAAATTAAAAAACATTTCAATTTTATTACCAATAAAAAATAGGAAATATATTATTTTTACTACTATTTCATATTTTTTTATTGATAAATCATTATGGCCATAGTTAAATTGAATAACTTTCACCATAATTAATACTCTATCTGTTAAAAAATATAAGACATCTTTGAAAAGTAGATGTTAAAAAATGTAAAATATTTTTAATATTTCAAACTGTAATTAATTCATTTTTTAAATACCCTTAATAAATAAATTATTTATATTTATTTTAAGTAAAACAACCTATTAAATAAAGATAAATATAAAAAGATGATATTAGTTAAAAGACATTTAATTAATTCAGTAGGAGTGATATTCGTTTGAAAAATGTTTTAGATTTTTTTAATGGAGAGTTTCTTCTTCCTCCATAATCATGCATTTTCCATTAAAGCTATTATTACCACACTTCCTCTAAAAATTGTCATGAAAAATTGTTTGTGCATATTAAAATTTAATTTCGGCCCTAAGCCTAACCATTTGGGTTAAAAAGAGTCATTTTGACACAAAGCCCACCTAAAGATTTTAGAAAAGAGATGGTTGAGAGGAAGACTTGGTCAAATAACACAACATTTCAAAAAAGCAAGAGAAGAGAAAGCTATAGGGAAAACTATAGCTAGTGGTAGGGCTGTGCATGGGTGAGGTCAAGCAGGGTAGACCTTTAACCCATTGCCTTTCCCTAAAAGTCTTCAAGCAAAAAAACCTTACCTAAAGCCCAAACTTACCTAAAAGATGCCTGTTTATAGAAGGGTCGAGCAAGTAGGGTCGAGCAAAGATTGGGCATGTCAAGCTAGATGTCCAACCTTGTATCCTTTTTTGGGCACTTGAAAGTTTTTCATTAGACCAAAATATATTAAAAATGGGCTCAAAGTAGCCCTAAAAACTATTACTAGTAACAAAATCATAGGCTCAAAATGGCTAAATAAATCATAGACTAAAAAAATTTTCAACAACAATATAATTGCAAATGAAAAAATCAATAAACCTAGAAATGACACATAGAAATAAAAAAAATTGAGATTTCTAATTGCAATGACAATCACAATGATCTACAACATGAGGCTGATACTTAGTCTTTGAAGCAACATGATTCCTTTTGGGTTCTTTGTGTGTCTTTAGATTGCTAGAGCATTAAAGAGTAAGAGAACATGAGGAGTAAAACAATCAAATTTAAAGCTTGGGAATCAAAGATTATAGCTTACAAATTAGAGATTAAAGCAATACAATCTTAATGCAAGAAGAAAAAGTGATGAACCATTCTCAATAGTGATGGAAGGCGAGTAACAGACTAAAGGCAGACACAATCGATGCAAGACCTTGTTGGACAGTGACAATGATGAGCTAATGGGCAATCAATGGTGAGAAGAAGGAGGTAAGGAGATGAGACTGCAAGATGGAGTCATTAGAACAGGAGAATCTCTTAGGTCATGTTTGGTACATTAGAATTGGGTCCAAGAGAAATGGAATTGGAATCATGCTTTCAATTGTTTGGTATGCATGAATCTAATTATTTATAAATTCCAATTCTGCCAAAATACTTAGAATTCAATTCCATCTCCATCATGATGGAATTGCCACAATTCTATGGAATTGTCATAAGTGCCCCACATACACACTCCATCATGATGGTTGAGTTTTTTTTATAAGGGCATTTTAGTCTTTATCTATTTTAAATATATATATTTATCAATATTATATTCAAATTCCATCTTCATACCAAACATACATTTATAACTCAATTCTATTCTGATTCCAATTCTGATTCTAATTCCAATTCTGATTCCAATTCCATCAAAAACTCTTCCATCATACCAAATAAGGCCTTAAGTCTCACTCACGATGGGAGACGGGGATAAAGAGAGGTGTCAAGATGGAGGGAGGAATGACGTTGCTAAGTCCTAATGCCAAATGAGTGAGTGATGGTGCAACTATGCAAGATTAAGCAAGGAGAGGAGAGGGAGACTGTTAAGAACTTAAAGAGCTAAAGACTTGAGTAAGGAGAAGCTAAGGTTTCATCTTAACTTGTCACTTGCCAGCCAACAAAATGTTGCCATTTTCATTTTTTTAAAAAAATAATATATAGCCTCGGGTTGGGCAAGGTTGATCCTAGTTAGACATCCTAGCTCTAAACCCTGCCTAACCATGCCCATCTATTTTCAAGCAACTTTTTTCAAGCACATGCAGGGAAAAAAAACCACTAGGCCATGTCAAGCATTTCAGGCTTTTGGGCTTCTTGCATAGCCCTAACTAATGGCCTTAAAATAGTGAAGCATTAAGTCATGGAAAAACTGCTACTTTGTGCCTATAAAAGGAAAAGCCACCAAACACACAAGTATTTCAATTCTTTGACACTACACACAACTGTACAAACATCTCTTCAAAGAATCTCTTTGAACAATTCAAAATCTACTTGCTCAGTGCACATATCTTGACCCTACATCATATCCTTTAATTCACCTAGTGCGATTCCTTTTATCCTTTCACAAATTCAACACAATGCCCTTAGCATGCCACGCATCTAGCAAAGAACACTAAAGTTCTTGAGCAATTAGTAGAGCACTAAATAATAGCAAAATAGCAGTAATAGTGTCTATACTTGTCCTTTTAGTTTTTTATCTTTTATTTTGCTATAATTTCCTTTTTATTATTATCAATATTATGGCTGCTCTCACCATGCAAGTCTCACATATTTTTTCATTTTTATTCCCTCATTCCCTTCACTTTTAAGCACTTGTATTAAGAGAAATCATGATAAATAACCTTTTGGGGACACGCTCCTTCAGTACACACACACACACAAAACAACTAGAAGTAATGTCATTGAGATTTTCTCTCCCAACTAAGTTGGAACATACATAAGAATTGAGATTTAAACTTCTAACAACTTGCTTAAGTGACGAGAGTTGATGCTACTATTCATTACACATGTCAACTTGAGTTTGTGATTTTATTTATATATAAGCACACTGTAAAATCATTTAAAAAAATAGTTTGACATGATTAAAATTGAAAAAGATAAACTGAAAAAAATCTTAAATCTCATTCACTCTGTCTAAAAATTTAACAAATTTTTAACTTTATGCCTATTAAATATATACATTTTAAAACTTAAATAATATAATACTTAATAATCTTTCCAACATTTAATAAGTATAAAGGGTAAAGATAGATACAATAATAATTAAATGTCTTATAAATAAGATTAAAATAAATATTTTCTCTCTTATAAATAAGATAAAAAGGAGTATTTCAAGTTTCAACTCTTAACTCCAAAGGCTACACGACAACATTCATCGAAGTTTGCGACATATGTGATTCTGCTTCTTCATTTAACGACAAGTATCATGTGAACCTAAAATATATATATATATATATATATATCAGTAAGTATTAAAAAAATGGAGGTAAAAAAGTATAACAAAATCAAATCTTTTTTCAATCTGTAACCAATATTCGGTTCAGTATTAAATGTTAGTTTTTAATCTAAAAATTAAATTCAATCTTACTTTAAAAAAATTGAGCTATTATCATTCCACTTGGCTGGCTTGGTCAAATTTGAATATATTTGCATGTAGCAAAATGTAAAAGCAAATAATTAATTTCATTGCATGTGAGGTGCACAGCTATTAAGATCGTCACGAATGTTCGAAAGAGAAACACAATACTACACATTCTAGCTAGGATATCCCATATTGTCAAATAATACATATTTGAGCATCGTTGAATTTACATGAAAGATAGCTTTTATTGTTCAGTTTATAAAATTTAATCTTCTTGCTTTAGGCATATTTCTTTTCACTTAGCTTGGTTGCCTTTTTAATTGAAGGGTTTTACTCAATTGTTGACTTTCATAAAGTAAGATTTAATTGGATTACATGTTTTCAATTTAATAAATGATAGTTTTTTTTTGAAAGGCAAATAAATGAGTGTTTCTTAACGATAAAAAGGTAAATTTACTTTTGTTTGTTTAGTATTTTTAATTTAAAAACACTTTGTTGTTTAATGAGAACCCAAATTTCATGAAAGATACAGATCTCGCGTATTATGTGCCTGTCTTTTTCTGTACTATTTAAACGTGTAAGTCTCTCAAACTGTGCTTATTTATTTATTTTTGGTATAAAAAAAGTCCCATATAATAAAAAAAATATACTGCAAGAAAGCATACTCATACTATAATTATTAACAATATTTTTATTATTTTTCCAGCTCGTTGTTTATATACAAAAATTGTTTTTTAATTTTATTATTTTATTTTTTTATGTTAATCAGGCCTTACTTCTTGCTTTTTCGAATATTGTCTCAATCTCATGAGAAGTTAATATACATACTATGGAGTAAAATCTATAATTAAATCAGGGCCCTATTTTGAATAATGTGCCTTAACCCTCACGGGCCACGTACATGCCTCTAGTTCAAAAGACTAGTAAATAAAATACCCAACTAAGAAAATTCATTCTCATCTTTATTCTTAAGTCAAGCAATCATGAGAGGATCCATATCGTGAACCATTTTACGCGGTTGATAAAAAAATACTGACAAACTTGTTACGCGTGGCAAATACAGAGATTGGGTACTCATTTTTCTCCGGTAAGAACACACATCCCTCCCAACTAAAGTAAAATCAAACATTGAGTTGAAAACAAGGAAGTTCAATTATTAGCTATGTCCTCTTTTCCTTTTCCTCTACTCCTCAAGCAAGTCACCTCTCTCTCTCTCCCCCTCCCCCCCCCCCCCCGACCCTCTATATATATATACACGCTCAAATAAGCACTAAAGATCATTCAAAGCTTTCAACTTTCAACATGTCTCGTAAAGCCTTCTTCAGATCCATCGTGTCTTTCTCCTCCTTCTTACTTTTCACCCGTCTGGTTCTGTCGACTCCTCCGGAGGACCCCGTCAAGTGCTCTTCTCCGAAAAACACAAGCTGCACAATCACAAACTCCTATGGCGTCTTCCCTGACAGAACCACCTGTTCTGCATCGCAAGTTCTGTACCCAACTTCAGAACAAGAACTCGTATCAGCAACTGCGTTCGCAGCAAAGAACGGAATGAAAATGAAAGTGGCCACTCGTTACTCTCACAGCATCCCAAAACTGGTGTGCCCAGATGGCCAGAATGGATTGCTTATAAGCACAAAGTATCTGAACCAGATAGTGAAAGTTGATGTGGAGGAGAGGAAAATGGTGGTTCAGAGTGGTGTGACTTTGAAGCAGTTAATTAACGAGGCTGCAAAGGTAGGGCTAGCCTTGCCGTATGGACCGTACTGGTGGGGCCTCACCATTGGAGGACTTATGGGCACAGGGGCTCATGGAAGCTCGTTGTGGGGAAGAGGAAGTTCAGTTCATGACCATGTTGTTGAGGTCAGGGTCGTTGTGTCTGCAAGTCCTGAAAATGGGTTCGCTAAGGTTCTGGTTTTGAAGGAAGAAGATGAAGATCTCAATGCAGTTAAAGTTTCTCTTGGCGTTCTTGGAGTTCTTTCCCAGGTCTGTTATTTTTCCTATATACTTTCTTTCGAAGAACCATTATTATATTGTTCTTTATTGTTTTCAATATTGATCCCATCGATCTTTCTTCTAGAGCTCTTGCTTGGTTCAATATTGATTTTCGAAGTGTATATGTGATTTACTTTCGTTTTCTTTTAAATTGTTCAGTCTCTCTTACTAATATTAATCCAGAAGAAAAGCGGTCAAGTTGCTTCAAGCGACAGTAAAAGGGGGTGATTTAATTAAGTCAAGACACGAATAAAGTTTTAAACGATATCGTGTTTAGTATCTTGTCCTTTATTAGTACATGGCACGTGAAAACACTTTTCAAAATGGATCTACCGTAGTATGTTGTTAAGTTACCTCCCTTGAAGTTTATAAAAACTACACCCCGAAGTTACAGCCATTTCTTATCTTAATTAAAAACCTGACTTTTACTGCACTAATAAACTGGGCTATTAACTAGGGTGTCAACTTAAATTACCATCTATAGCTATGATGATTAAGGACAAAATTTAAACACATTTCTTTCAGATTTTTGTTAATTATTTAATAAAAATGATTATTAAGTAATCGCACCCGTACACACTGCACACACACATTAATGTTTAGGGCCACGAAATCATATTTTATTAAAAAAACGCTTAAGTCCTGCCTCCGTAGCGATATAGTAAAAATTATTCATAAATTAAATCTAATGAAAGTGTAAGTTTGGCGGAGGGTATGATTTAGGAGTACCACCACAATTGATTAAGCAAAAAGGTTAAAGTGATTAATGGGGAGTGAAGAAGGTAGGGTCCCTCCACCTCTTTTGAAGTCACACAGGCCATAATCGCAATCATGATGAAGAATATCACTAGAATAATCTGTTGAACTAGAGATCCAATCACAAGAAGACAATTAGGTTAATACAATATTTTGAGTCACTTTTCGGTTCTAATTTATAAATGCCATTAGAAAGCAAACAAAAAGAACTATATTCCTTCTTGTCTTTATTATAAGTTTTTTTTTAGAATGAATGGATGATCCTAATTATAAGTTACTAAGTTAAATATCAATTACATTTTTTTAATATTGTCTCTTTTTAAAATCGGATAAAAATTTTTAATATTTTATTGCTTTCTTGGGATGCAATTCATTGTTTTAACTTTTAAGAGTGGCAAGTTTGAAGTACTTTCGATTTTCAGACAAAATCAATAATTTAATCACTTCTCTTTGATTCAGATGAAATAATTAGCTTTAAACAAAAATGATGGAGTGTGTATATATATTTATATATTTCGGTGTTACATAATAACACTAAGGGGACAGTTGCCTGAGTTAAACTAATTTAATATGGTTACTCCATCAGTTTTAATTTAAATTACGCCTTTTGGGTGTCAGCACATCAGCATATTCTGTGAGTGTGAAAGCAACCAAAAGCTCATAAAAAAAAAAAACAACATTAATTAAAAACAACACATAGAGAAACCATTAATGATTTGTATTCAAATTTTGGCAATATATGCTTAAATTATAAAAGAATATTACTATTGTTTAAAAGATATATTTGAGCAGTAGGTTTAATTTTTGATCGAATTTGAAAATATGTATTCGGACTAAAATCACCATAATTGATTATTTATACGAGAGTTGCAATGAGTAATTCATTCCTTTACGTATATAATCATATGCACATGCACGAAACAACTTGAGTATTTGTGATACAGAAAGACAAAGATAGGATGCCATCAGCCATGTGCTTCTTCTTTTTTGATCAACAGCCTGTGCATCTTAATAGGATGATGGAAATACATAATCAAACGTAATTTATTTTAACCAAAAATAGGCTGATGAGTAAAACAATTCACATGTTGTGTGTGTGTGTGTAATGAAGAATTATATTACAAAGATTAAAAAGCATATGGACGACACAACCATTATTAGAAAACACGTTTGTCATATTTATTGATCCATATATTTACGATTTTGCATGAATTGTTTATCGTTAATGAATCCTTTTTATTTGAACCATCTAAACAATAAAGCAAATTTATTTATTTACATTTATAATTTAACTGCTGAAATAATTTAGCATGTTGTTTGAGGGAAATCAGATCTCTTGCTCTTTTGTAAATTTCTTCCTTTTAAAGTTGATTCATTCTACCTATGAAAGTAAAAATGCTTATGGTAATGATTGCTTACAATGCCCTTGGCAGATAACTCTAAAACTAGAACCCATGTTCAAGAGATCCATAACCTATTTGGCAAAAAAGGATTGGGACTTGGGAGACCAAGTGGGCAGTTTTGGACACAACCATGAGTTTGCTGATATAACGTGGTACCCATCTCAGCACAAGGCTGTGTATCGTGTTGACGATCGTGTCCCAATCAATGTCTCAGGAAATGGCCTTTATGACTTCATCCCTTTCCGTCCCACTGCTTCACTCGAATTGGCTCTCATCAGAACCACTGGTCAGCTTTGTTATAAATTCCTACCTTTTTTGTTTTTCAACGCATCCAGCTTCTCATGCCTCTTTTAATAGTCAATAGAGTTTGAAAGTGGAAGAAACCTACGTATACAGTTTACGCGTTTAATGATATTGGTCTGCAGTACAACTTCGGGCGGTCGTTTACTTTTATTATATTAGTCATCAACAGCGTACTTTATTTGCTTTAATTTTGTTTTTGATGGAATACAGAGGATGTTCAAGAATCCACCAATGATGCTAATGGGAAGTGCTTAGGTGCAAAGACCACAATGGACGCCCTTATCAACTCTGCTTTTGGACTTACGAACAATGGTGATCATTTCTTCTATTCATGATAAATCAAATGAATTATATTCTTGTGACAAATCAATAATGCATGTTTAAATTCATTAATATATATATATATATATGAAGAGAATATACTTCAGTAATTTAGGACGAAAGGTATAATGCGTCGTCCTTATGATTCCTGAGGCTGTTTCAGGAGAGCTTTTCTTGTGCGTGTGTATATCTGCATAAATATCTTGAATCAGAACGATGATGAATCTCTCTGATTCTACAACGCTATATATAAACGCAGGCTTTATTCAATGTTCGGTACTTGCAGGCATAATCTTTACGGGGTACCCAGTGATAGGGTTTCAGAATCGCCTACAAGCCTCAGGGACATGTCTTGACAGCCTTATGGACGCAAAGATCACAGCGTGTGCGTGGGACTCGAGGGTAAAAGGTGAGTTCTTCCATCAAACTACGTTCAGCATAGCTTTACCTTCCGCAAAAGGCTTCATAGAAGATGTTCAAAAGCTGGTTCAGTTAGAGCCAAAGGCACTCTGTGGAGTGGAACTCTACAATGGCATCCTGATGCGCTATGTCAAGACCTCAAGTGCCTACTTGGGGAAGCAAGACGATGCTATAGACTTTGACATCACGTACTACAGAAGCAAGGACCCTACGAACCCTAGGCTTTATGAAGACATTATCGAAGAGATAGAGCAGCTTGGGATCTTCAAGTATGGAGGGTTTCCGCATTGGGGGAAGAACAGAAACTTAGCGTTTGATAAAGCTATCAGAAAGTACAAAAATGCAGACAAGTTTCTCGAGGTTAAAGAGAGGTTTGATCCACAAGGGCTTTTCTCTAGTGAATGGACTGATCAAGTTCTTGGATTAAAAGAAGGATTGATGATAGAGAAAGATGGGTGTGCTTTGGAAGGCTTGTGTATATGCTCACAGGACAGCCACTGTGCACCAAGCGAGGGATACTTTTGCAGACCAGGCAGAGTTTATAAGGAAGCTAGGGTTTGTACTCGTGTGAAATCTAAAACAGTGTGATAGTAAGATAGAAGAACGAAACATGTTTCTTGATGATATATAGAGGATGAACAAAAAGTTAAATTTGTAGTATGACATATATCTGATAGAAATGAAAATAGAGGATAGAGAGAAATATAAATTATTAACAGGATATTCAATTTTAATATCTAGTTTATGTTTATGCATTTTTTTTAATAGCTGACTTTTTATTTTATTGAATGAGCCCACATTGCTAGAAGTGTGCATTTTTTTTTTTTTACGTTGAGGGACATAGCACTTTTTATTAGTTTTATTTTTTTTACATATAAAATAATTTATATGTCACAAAGAAGACAATTCTTATTATGTGCTATACACCGTGATGCATATAAAAACAATTTGTTATCATGACAACTTATTAGGGGTTAATTTCTAACTTGCATTTTTTTACATATGATGTCCAAATGAAATGATCCAAGCACCCACACATACTTATTTCATAATCTAACTAATAACACAAGTCTTACTTAATCCAATATTTCATTCGAAAATTGAACAACTGGATGCCAAATGACCATTTATATGTCATTTTCAAGCAAGCGACTATCCCAAATACGCAACTTGTAACGTTCTTACTCCACTAACCATGCTTAACAAATAAAGCTCATGGTAATAAAGGGATTGTCTCCAAAGAGTGATTACTAAGTTTTTAATTCAAAAATAAGGGATCCTAAGTTTTCTTAAATAGAAACAAGTTAGCGTCGATAAAATCTTTCATATCAGAGTAAAAATAAGTTTCGAAAGCATGGGATATCTCAAAGGAGTGAAAGAAGTCAAAAATTGATTGAAAATAATTTATGTCCTAAAATACAGAGCAATGTGCCGTGGCAGGCACACTTTGCGCAGCAATGGGCTGCTCTCTGTGCAACTCGTCGCGGCTCAGGCACCATGTGCCATGGCGTGTTGCACGAATTTTGCACTGGTTCTGCTGTCAAAATAATAGTAGAATTTAGGAAGTTCTGACTCACCCTAATTCTTCCTCCGATGTCTGAATGACATGATCTATGTATCTACAGAAAGCTCTTTTTCTATACTAGCTAATGGCATAGGTTTTACTTCCAAAACAAGTCACATTAGGAAGTTGGACACCCAAACATATTTTAACCACTTTTTAATACTTTTACACAAAGTGGGTGTTCAAAACCCTTAACAAGAGCCAAAAGCTCTTCTTAACACTTTGACCATGTCTAATGGACTGAAGACTACTAGTACAATACGTCACAAGCATCGAAATATCATTATAACAAATATTTACTCCTCAACCCTAATTTAACAAAAACAAAAGGGGGAGGTAAATTACCATTGTATTGCACTCAACCATTCAAAACATGTTCAAATCTTCTTTTCTACACTTGTACTAATATTTTAGCCCTATAAACACATATATTTCCCCATAACATAAGTTAAGGGCTCAAAATATAATTTTTAACATTTCCAAACCAAAATAGTGCAAGTATGGGATTATGCATCCTAGTATTGGTAATTTATATGCTATTACACAAATACATCAAAACTAGAGGCATAAAAGAAGGAATGTATTAATTTCCCATATCTTTAGTCTTCTCCCTCTCAATGCCAAAGCTAGAGCATGAAAAGTATTAAATAAGATGGGTGAGTTTAGTCACTTAGTAGCCAAGGTTAAACATATCCTATACAGTTATATATCAATTATAAAACAAATACATATACAACGAGATCAAATTTATAAAACATTTCCCCATATATCACATTTTATTATTTATTACTCTATAGCTTCTTTACTCACATAACTAGGTGCATTATTGTCATATTCTCAGATATGTGACAAGACACATACTCTGATGACCTACCACCACTTAGCACGTGTGACACGTTATATATTTACTTAGATAATGATCAACCAACATTATATCCTCCTTATTTTCTCAAACTAAAATCGTGGGCTATAATATAGATTAGGGCTCCATCTGTGTGACTGGACTACCCAAACTCACCAATTGTGAGGTGTGACCTAGTCAAAGATCAAAAAACTCACTTTCAAACCACAGCTTCCCCCATTCTCGAATCCCTGGGGTCTCTCATACACTAGGATATTCTCCTCATTGAATCGGTGGAGATAGTTAGGTTTTAGTCCCTCGACAAACTATGGGATAGTCCCTCGACAAACGTTGGGATAAAGCTATAGCCCTCGTGCATCGAAGGGCAGCCTAATTACCATATGGATTTTCTCCACTCACAAATCTCTAGGCAAACTCCCACCACTGATCATGCCATAAATCATACTCACTTATTGTCACTTTTCACTTTCACATACTCACTATTACAACAATTACATTAGGTTCACGACCTTATGCTACCCAAGTGTGTATTCTCATCTTTTTCTCAAAATTCATTTCTTATTAACACAAAACTATTTCTACACATCATCACATTCATTTCTCAAAAATATAGGCATATTCATAATACAATCCTCTTAACTTTACCCTTGCATTTTCAAGCCCAAAAATAGCTTTTTCATGCACTCAAAGAAGCTAATATATAGTTCTTACTTAAACAATCAATCCCATGCATGTAAGCATTTGCAATTTCACATTCACATTCATAGCCAATTAACAATCAATTAACATATAGCTATCCAAAGTAGAGTTTTCCCCCGATTATCTCAAACTTTTGAGAGGTCAAAGGTTTACCCCTCAATTAACTAGCCACCAAGCTTGAATTTTCACTCTAAAAATGTAACTAAGAGTCAAAACTACAAGCAATCAATTGAATTCCATCAACAACCCAAACTCAAATAATTGAACCCTCAATCTCTACTTCTAATTTGCCTAACCTTCACTTTACAAGAGGGAGCTTAACCATTGGGTTTAATAGTTACCTTTAACCCCAACAATATTAATAAGCTATTAAATTCTCATTAATAGCATCACAAACTTCCAACCACCATAATAAATGGGATTTTTTAGGTATTTATGGTGCCCAACAATCTAAGACACCAACACTCATCATACCTAGGTTTAAATACTCTAATCTACCCCCATTAACTCCATTTGAGTCAACAAATTTAGACCCATAATCTATATAGACCAAAATTCTACTTCAACTATCAAACCCTATCCAAAAACTCATAAATGTGGAAGAAAAGGAGAGATTAATGAATATGATACTTACTTTAGGTGTTTGTAGCCTTTAAAATACTCTCAAAGTAGTCCCTAAGAAAACCCTAGCAGAGCAATAGCACGCCTCTCCTTTCTCTCTTTTCTTTTCTTTCTTCTTATGTCTCGTTTCGCATCTGATAAAGTATAGAAAATGGTCATGCATCACGGCAAACGCACAATGTGCCGTGGCACATGGCACAGAGAGGTCCTCTCTCGCTCAGAAATGGCTGTGCGCCATGGCAAATGATCTACGCACCGTGGTGTGTGACACAACAACTTCAAGTTTTCCTTTTCTTCTCCTTTCAATACCCAGGTGGTCCACCTCAATACTGGACCCGTAATATTAGACCTCTCTGGCCACACACCACTTTGATTTACTTAACTACCCTAATTAAATTTAATTAATGAAGGGATTAAAACTCAGGATGTTACACAACTTGAGTTATTACTTACAATTAAGGCCTCAATCACATCCAATAGACCAATCTGTACTCAATTAAGTAGTTATTACAATAATCACACATTCCAAATTAAATTTGGCCATATAAACACCCAAATTCCTATAGAATAGGGCCACATTCTACATTTTTAACTTCTTGGCCAAATACTTTACATTTTATCCATTTAAAACACACTATTTATTCAATTATACTGGTATCTCAGCCTTCTTACCAAATATACCATAAATGCATGTATCTGAGCTAAGATACGATACATATCACTTCATACAAATGCAATCAATTCATAACACACACACAAATTCATATTCAAGCAAAAAAATTATATGTATTCCTACTAGGCAACTTACACACACACATAAATTCATTACACAACTTATAATGACAGGACCATATAATAGTAGTTCCACTACTTTTGGCTCGAATCTTTCCCTCAACTCCTATCCATATATGAACTTGTAAAATAGTAACTATGGGGTGAAAAGATAAAGTCATAATAACCAAAACAATTCATAACTATCTATTAACATGTAAAACTATAAACAAATATGTAAGGCAAGATTATAAGCCAATTATTATAATACATATTATTAATATCACATGTATGAATATAATATCCATTCAAACCTCTATGTCAACCTCCAACTGAATCCATAGACTACAGTTGTGGACGAACTTTAATTAAACTAATCTAAGCTCACTTTTTATAAGAGAACTACTAGACTAAAGGTGTTCTATTCCACTTTTAAAATATAGACTTCCCTTATTATGCATATAATTTGGGTGTCATTTACTTTAACACTGCACTCTTTTTGGTTCTAAGGAGATCATAGTCATGTTATAATTACCGAAATGTCCTATAGTAACAATCCATAACATGTTCATTATACTAGATGTTCCATAGTGCCAACCTAACTATATGAACTTCAACACTACTCCACCTAGGATGAATTCTCACCCTTACTATCATGCTCATGATTTTCACACAATGCAATTGATACACTTATTATATTTATCTCTCTCTATCATTTAGCTTTTAATTTTAATACAATTAATCAATGCATGTTATTTTTTAAACAAATTTCTTTTTCCTAATCTACAAGTTCTAAAATCATATAAGCATAAAATATAACATGTATAAGGTCATAAACAACTTATAAACAATTAAATAAGCTAATAAATAGTATGAATTATCTAAGTACCTTAATTATTTTGTTACTGAAAGAGCTACCCTTAGCAACTCTTAAAACTTCAACCTCTAATAGGTTCCAAATAATCAAGATCTATAATATTAAGCACTATAAGTCAATTCCACTGATCACAAGTACTTAATTGATAACACTATTTAACTAACTGATGCTTCCAACTTCTATCATAGGACAATTTCGAATAAGGCCTGCTCAATCTTTACAAGCTTCATACAGCTTCCACTAATCTAGTTAAGATCCATATAAGATTTTGACAAGTTTAAACCTTCCATTTGAGGTTAAAACTTAACCAAAACCTTAAACTCCATCAACAAGCACCAAACTTATTGTAAATCTTTAATTTAACTTCCAAAAATCCTATAACGGGTATGGGGCTAGAAAGCAATCCTTCATAAACTCAAAACTCAATTTCTTTACCTCTCAAACCAATAGAAAATATGGTAGATTCAGGGGGAAAAGAAAGTATGAAACTTACCCAGAAGATGATTGGTCAAAACTAAATTTTAGGTGCCCAAGAACATATGCTGAAACAAATCTCCTTCTTCTCCCTTCATGCTTCTCTATTTCCCCTTTTTCCTTGCTAATTTAATTTTGACCTGATTGATGAGTTTTTAATCATATTTTTAAACCATACGTCGCAGCGCATTATGCCATGCCACGACGTGTGGTACAGTGAGTGAAAATTCACTTTAGCTCTCCCACTCTGACCTTGATATGCTCCAACTTTCACCAAATTATAATCTTAAAGCTATCCAATAATTTAAGAGATCAATTAACAATTTGGAATCACAATTAACTAAATTAATCTACTAATTTACTAAATTACCCTTTTAATTAGCAATTAAATTTTTGATTAAAACTCAAGATGGTACAATTGTAGTGCCTCTTATTTTACTATATATTTAAGGGATTTAAAAAACCATTTCTATTATACAATTTAAACACATTAGGAAGGGAGTAAATTTTTTTAAATCATATCATTTGAAGTGTAAAATTACTTTATATAATAAAAAATTAAACTAATATATAAGGATATAATGGTAAATTAATTAACATCCCCTCCCCTCCCCAACTAAACCAAGCAATGGATTGTTAAATATTAAAATGCTTCCCTTCTCTTTCCTTCTCCTTCCTCAAACTAAACATAGCCTAATGTGTGGAATGAAAAATAGCACAAACAGGCTCATTTTCTTAATGGTTCTAAGCTTTCGTGACACGGAATGAACAATTTTTTGGGCCGAAAGAAAGGACAACTTAATTTAGGCCTACAGTGATTTTGGAGCAACAGACTCAGGAAATTGGGCCAAAAAGGGTTTAAAAGAAATCAAATTTGTTAGTTTTTTGGGCTATGTGAAATTTGCCCAAAGCACATAAAAAAAAGAAGAAGAAGAAGAAAGAAACGAGAGCTAGTGCATAACCTGTATCAAATTTGAGGTTAGCTGCAGTTATGTGCGGTTTTTCTATAGATTCCATTATATAGAATACTGAATGAATGAATATTCGTTGATGATACATGGCGGGTACAAATAACTCTGAACTTGATCAAATTATTAACGGGCCAGAACACTTAAAGGACAACGATATAAGCCCTCGACCTATTATTAAAAGAGTCAAGACGCTGTCAATGAATATTGCCCACCTTTTGTTTTTTTTCCTGGGGGGTACTATATTGCCCACTTGATACCAAAGGCATGTTGATTAGAGCATGCTGCGGAAAGCCCACAAGGAAAGTGTGAATTAATTTTTTTTTTTTACCAAAGTGTGAATTAAAGGTTGAGTTAGGCACAATTTCTCTAAAAGACACGCCTTCTACAAAATTATTGATAAAATAAGAGATCTTTAATCACATGTTCAGAAAAACAAATAAATGTGTTGATATGGTCAACTGTTGAGCTTCCCGCAACAATTTAAATATTTTGATCTTTAATCCTCCACTACTAGAGTGCAAAAATCTTATGACCTCTGGTGTAACTTGATTTTGTCTCTTTATACAAGTTTTTCATGACTATACACAAACAAAAAAGTTAAACTAGGCTTTTTGTGTATTTGCGGAAAGTGGGGTTCAAGTTACTATTGATGGGGCAAATCAGGAAAGTGCAAGTTTAAGTAGAAATACCCAAATATAAATAAATTCATGTGAAACAAAAACTGACTAGCCAATGGCTCTGGTGCCATAAACCCCTCTCGTAAGAAAAAGTTAAGTGGTTATAACCCAAAATGGATACGAAGAGTGCATGTAATCTTTTCATATGATGAGGGTAATATGAGATATATGGGTATAGCTGGCAAAACAAGTTAACCTGCCAAAAATAAAACAGGATCGTCATGGGTCATGCCTAATATCCAAAAAAAAGATCTGTATCGAAATATATTTTACTTGTGAAAGAGTTGACCATTTCATAATTCTGCAAAGAGATGGGAAGATTTTTCTTTTCTTTCTTTTCTTTTTTTTTTTTCCTTTTTGGGATGGGCATAAGCAAATCGTACTCTTCTTAAGAGTCAAATAACATATGGTAGTCTCAATATGTTTGGCATACTCTTGGTGATGCCTACGAAATACGCACTAGAAAAGAAAAACACACACACACATAAAGATTTACAGGGTGCAAGATATTGTTTAAGTATCCGTTTCTGATAACTTATTCTGTTCAGTTGGCCTATAAAAGGATAAGGATATATAATGAACCATAAAGCCAAAGCATCAAATACTAAAGCGGCACTATTTGAATATATATATATATATAAGTGGTACCATTTTATTCGTAACTTGTTACATATTGTTGCTATAACACTAATTTATCATCTATTAACATGTAAAAATATACTTTATTTTTTGCACCTTAAACTATCTTCCTCGTCCTTGGCTCCAGGTCCGTGGAGTCGCTGATGTGGCAAATATGGGGGGATAGATGGTCAAGTCAACATCAAAACTTCAGCCCAACTCTGGTTTTATTTTTTTAATAAATATTTATATTTATTATATCTTAATACTTGTTGTCATGTATTTTCATACCATGAATAAATCCATATTTAAGTGTTATTAGGTACGAATTAGAGGCATATTGTCTGGTGTGATTTTTTATATTACACAAGATTCGAACCTTTTATCTTATTTAAAAAATCAGGACCATTTGAGCTCCTCTCGTTTAAATAAATTATTGTTGATTCTGTTCATTTTTTCCTCGTATGTATACGCAAAAGTGAAAATCTAATTTTCCAAGAAGGGCTGCATAGTTTTTTACTTGTGTCCAGATGAAGTATAAAAGGGATTCATTTAAATTGTGAGAAAAACAATCAGACATAAAATATAATTAGACCAGGATTCTATTGCTAAGTGTATTTCAAGATAAAGTTTAATTTAAAATTGATGCAAATAAAAGGTAACTTGCCTCAAAAACCCTTTAATTTATTGAGACAATACAATTTTTTTAGAATAGATAAAACTTTAGGTCCAATAGTATCATAGACATTAAACTTGCTTATTGTGCAAATTATTTCCTCACTTTTTAAAAACAATACAATCTGATCCTTACCATTGATAAAAGTTAATTTTGACTGATAGTTCACTAGCAAATGATAGAAAATAAACTTAAAAACCTGAAAATGATAGATAAGGATTCAAAAAATTATAGAAAATGATAAAAAAAATTTGGTCCTTTTTTATCTTTTTTGAATCAACTAATGATTAAAATTAACTTTTATTAATAGCAGGGACTAAATCAAAAGTTAAAATGGTAATTTGTATAATAAATGAATTCAGATTCTATCTTATTATTGGACTTAAAGTTTAGGCAATAATTTGCTCATTTATTTTTTATAAACAAATGTGAAATCATGAAAAAAAAAATTAATTGTTTAAGTGGCACCCCAAAAATTTATGCTTTGCCTGGCTTGCAAGAGAAAATAGAGGAGAAAGAAAATGGAGAGAGGAAAAAAATGATGAGATGGGGGGTTTGTTTGATAATTTATTTTGAGAATAATTTTTTATTCTTTTGAACAAAAATAAAAATATACTTAATAATATATTTTTAAAAAATATTTTGAAGAGAATATAAAAGAACATGGTAATTGTTATGAGTTTTCCCTTCATTAGCCACAATTTAAACCATGGAAATGGTAATTTTCATTAGTTCTTGAAAACTGTGAGAATATTTATTATGAAAAATGATTTCTGACAATTTTTTAATGAACCATGGGAATGCTCACGGTTTTTACAGAACCGTGGAAAGAGCCACGGTTGTGTCGGAATTGTGGCTGTCTCCATGTTAGAGTCATGAGTTTTCCCATAGTTATGACAAAACCGTGTGAAATGGTGACGTAAAATTTAAATAAATATTTTGATGTTATTACATATTATAATAAACTTGTCTGAATGTAATAAAAAATCTACAATTAAATTAATATTTTAATTAGTCTAAAAATTTTAAATTTAATCCCACATCATTGATTATGCGCCATTTTTTATGATTCAATAACAAGTGGTTTAATTAATTCACTCCAAACAAATTTTATTTAATCTGATGAGAAATTTAATCAATTTAAGAAGCATTGATTAATATTAAAAATGAGTAAGTTTATTAAAATGTGATCCATAATTTACTTGGTGTGTGCGCGTGTGTATTAGGCAAATTGAAGATCGTATATTACATTAAAATTCCTTAGTAGAATATAAATGAAATCATCGAAACATTCAGCCAAATGACAATAATTAAAAAAAAATACAAATATAAGAAACGCGAACTAAAGGACGCTAGCAACAATACGAGAATCTTGCCATTAAGAGTTTTTCGGGAAGACAACTAGAACATTAAAAGATTAAAAGTTTTGTTTTTTTTAAACCTACCAAAAAATAAATAAATAGTTAAAGTGATAAAAACAAAATGAATGTAACCAAATTTATATTCGGGTGCGAAATCAAAGAAGATGATTTCGAACGTCCCATCAGAGCTTGCATCTTCTGATAGTTACAAGTTGTTGAAGAAAGAGAAAAAATTGCATCTCCAGTCCATCATACAAAAAACTGTACACACCATGTAAAAGGGGAAAGATCCTTAAAGGAAGAGGCAATCTTTTTTAATCATGCACAATACACCTTCAACTCCAAGAACAGAAAAACCAAAATTATTAAAGAAATATATTGAAAAGATAAAAGTATAGAAGAAATATACCAGAAGAGGAAAAAGAAGAAAGGCGGATGAAGAAGTTTTACTAGATGAAAGAGCAGAAAAGATAAAATAAAAAAGAAATATACCAAATGAATGAAGAAGTTTTAGAAGATGAAGAGGTTGAGCTTTGCGAAGATGAAAATAAAGGCTGAGTGTGCTTCCACGATTAGTGAGAATCTGGTGTGCACAGTGCAAATGGAAAAATGAGAGAAGAGAAATGACAAAAGAAGATATTTTCTCATGGTTTATGCCAGAGACAGTGGGTAGTCCCATAGTTTTTAGCTAAAACTATGGGAAAATATTATCCAAAATATTTTGGATAATATTTGACAACCTATTTTAAGAATAGATTTCTATTACGCAAGATAAAAAAAATATGTTTACTAACGTATTTTTAAAAATAAAAAATAAAATATTATTCTAAAAAATAAAAAATGGAAACATCTTTTAAGGTTTTGGAATTATTATTTTGGAGAATAAAAAATAAAAAAACATCAATTTTCATTATTTTTTTAGAACTAAGAAAAATGAGAAAATATCAATTTTCATTATTTTTTATTCTCAAAACATGTTTTACAGAAAATCAGTTTTTAGAATAATAAAATAAAAAAATTTCAAATAAGCCCTTAGAGTTGTTATTTTGTCACCTTGTTTATTTTATAAGAGGATTTCACTTAATTTTGGGAAACTTTGGCTACTATGACAGAAACTCTTAATAATAGTGTCATTAAGCATGGCTTGAAGTAAAATTTCTATGGGACATGCCAACAATACCCAAAAAGATTACTTCTTCAATGATGTCTTATTTGGCAAGAAGGTTTTCTCATGTATAAGTAGTACTCAAAAGGTACCACCATATTATGAAAGAGAAGCTAAAACTTAGCTAAAAAAGATAAAAAATTCAAAACCAAAGCCTAATAGTTTAGATAGAGAGAGAGAGAGATGAACAAACATGATTTTTTAAAGTGATACAAACCTCAGTTGAGGTAAAGAGATATGAAAGTGGGTAAATTTAAAAATGAGGAATCTCTCAAAAATCACTTTATATAGAGAAAAAAGCAGAAGGCAAAAATATATTGTGAACATCACATGTTATTTTTCTCTTAATTTCCTCTCCCTCTCAAATATTTCTCCTTAGATCTCACTTTTCTTTTCTATCAACCATAGCATTAAATATGAAATTAAAATTGATTTAATGATAATTCAAGGACTAAAGTGAATGTCCTTGAAATGTCAAAGAAGTGTTTGGGCTTGACTATTAGAGTCCTGTAACCCATATATACTCCTAAGAGGCCCAAATCTTGGCAAAATAAATCACGTGTTTGGCACATCATTGTTTCATAAACCAATAACATTCACTTTGGTGAAGGAACACGGATCTTCAAATCTAGAATCTCATTGACAACTTATTTTAAAAATAGTTTTCTGTTTTACAAAATAAAAAATAAAAACATCTGTTTAGTAACATGTTTAAAAAAAATTTAAAAAATTAAAAATTAAAATATTATTTTGAAGAATAGAAAAATATAAATATTTTTTAGTTGTTATGGGATTATTGTTCTATAAAACAAGAAATAGTAAGAAAAACACTTATAATCATTATTATTTTTAGATCATGTTCTACAAAATAGTAGTTTTTATAACAATAAAATAAAATTAGTTTCAAACAGCCATCTAGTTTTTACTCTATTTATTTTTATAGTCATGTATGAAAGACCGATGATGACATTATAAAAGTTAATGAAACATTTTTTTTTGAATGTTTGCTCTTATATTATAATTATAATATAATATAATTTTTAAAATTAGGAAAGATTTTTTTATGAAAAAAAACCAGGAAGATTTTCAAAACACCTATATATAGTATTAAATAGTAAAATATTTCCTTCATTTTTATTTATAAAAGAAACTACCACCTTTTGCTTATCCTTTTATATAAGCAAAATCACATTTTTAATAAGTATTTATTATAAGTTTTCTAGATTACCTCTCATAATTTCGTCATTCACAGTCATAAAAAATAATTAATGAAGACTTGATTAACACAATCAATGGAGGATATTTTAGTTTAATTCTTTCATTTTCAAACACAATTAATATAGTTAAATGATTTTTTTAAATAGTGTGATATAGTTTTTTCTCTTATAAATAAAAATAGAGGGAGTATCAGCTTGCCTCATTTTATATATTTTTTGGATTGATTTGATTGACTTATCATATTCCTAAGGGGTTTTGCATATAATCTATGTTATAGGATCGAACTAAGTAAATAACTCAATATTTATAATATTTTGCAATACAGAAGGTTTATTATATTAATTAGTGATATATCGTTGTATATTAATGATAAATCCTTGTAAATTTTTAAATTTACAATGATAAACTCCTTGTATATCAACGTAAACCAACCATACTTTTAAATTTTTAAAAATTTAGTCCCTATTTTTTGACATAAGATTTTTTTCAACCAATGAGCCAATTTATCCTATTCATAATTTATAATTTTTTTTAATAAATTGAGGTGAATGGAGTAAGTTACATGAATCTCATGGCAATAAATATATATTCTCATATTTAAAATATAAGCATTTCTTCCTAGCTCATCTTAATTCAAAATATAAGTGAATTAGTACATGCAATTTTTTTTTACCTCTTATATTTATTAACCTAGAACCAAAATTTTTACGTAAATATATTTCTCACTTATCATGAAGTATATTAATAATTCGAATTAGGGGTCAATAAATAATATATATTTTTATGAGAATGATGACTTTATTGATATGTGTATTTTTTAAAAAATTATTTATATTTTGAATTGTAGGGAGTATATGTTTATTATTATAGGCTATTTCCTTCTTTATTTGTTTGCCATTCTTGTCAACAATGAATATTGCATGAAGGCTGTTTCTGTTTTGGGCAAGCCGCAGTGGGGCTAGTTTGCAGAGGAAATTATTCTTTCAGACGGTTAGATTAATGTATCATACCAAAAAAGTAAGGATAACAAAAAAGCCATGGATTAATTTTTCTAAGTTACTAAAATAGATCCGTGCTTAAATATTTTGATACAAAAATTAATATTTAAAATTATAATTAAATTATAATGAAATTTTTTAAAAGCAAAATATATTATTAAACTAATTAAATTATTAATTTAATGTTTTTTCAATGTAACGGTTGATCTGAATTTCATCTTATAATTTTTTGATACCTTTTCACTCTCTCATTTGTTGGCAAGCTAAAAAGGCCAAAAAAGCTAGGGCCTCTTTAATAATTTATTTTAAAAATAATTTTTATTTTTTAAATAAAAAAATAAAAAAATTTGTTTAATAATATGTTTTTAAAAAGCATTTTTGTCGAAAAATAAAATATTATTTTAAAAAGTAAAAAAATAAAAATATTTTTTAAGTATTTTGAGATTATTGTTCGAAAAATAAAATTTTTTATTTTTAAACATATTTTATAAAATATTAATTTTTAAAATAATAAAATAAAAATAATTTAAAACAGGACCTAGTTTGGCAGGGAAGGAAAAGAATGAGATTTCGAGGACAATTTCGCTGGCAAAGAAAAATAAAAAGAAATGATGGCAAAAAAAAAAAAAAATAGGACTATTAGGTCTGAAACGTGGCAAAGTTCTATTAGATCCTCTTCGTAACTCGGAGTGAAATCGCTCGCCCAGGGTACTCTCGCTGTCTCGATTTGGGGCTTCTGAGGAACGGAGAGAAGGCGAGAAACAAAGGAGGCTTCCTTCGTGTCTGGGTTCGCCGGATATCTCACCCGCCCCCTCCCCCACTCTCTCTACAGTGGAATCACTGAGAGCCAAAAAAAAAAAAAGCCCAATAAGAAGCAAATCTCAAAATCCCCCATTTGTGCTACTGGTATGCCTTTTCCTTTATTCTCCATGCCTCCTTTTCTTTCATGTATTCGGGGTGGTGAGAAGGGCTGCTCTCAAAATTTGCCCCAAGAGTTGTCCCCTTGTACTTTGGATTCACTTCTAGGCTTTCTCATAACTGAATTTGACCCCATATAGCAAAAAGATATTTCTTTTTGGTATGTTACTTTTGCCGGTTCTGGTTCTTTATTTTTTTTCCCTTTTATGCGTTGTTTCTATGATATTTCTTGGTTATTAATGCTTATTAATTGGGTCTTTCTTCCTTTGCTTCTCTTTGCCCAGTTAGATTCAAGGGTTTCATTGATCACTCTCTGTGAGGCTTCCTTTTGGCAGATTTATATTTCTGGGGGATTTTTGCCTTTTCTTTCATCCCCCCAATCAGTAGTGGCCCCTTGTTGACGTTCCTTTCCCGAGTGGAACAACTTTTGTAATGAGAAAGCCGTTACTTTGATTGATTTATTTATTGTTTTACCCACTTAACTGCCCGGACTACATGGGGCAAATCTTGCTTCCTTTAAATTCCGATAGTTTTATTATAACTTTGCACCTCATTGATATTTTGCAAATTCAGCTGAGACTGCTCGGGCATGCCTCATTTGATTGTTTACACTCGGTGATAGGAGAATAAAACTTGGGTGTGACAGTTTAAGTGAGTTGAAGTGCACTCTTAGGGTTCAAATAGAGATGTCCAATAACCAAATGGAACATTTGGGGTTGAATTTTTGTTATTGGGATGTCTACTATTTCCTCCCTGTCTTAATTTCATCGCACATTTCCTATTGTGATGAAGTTTGTTTTCGGTTTTCCATCTGAAAATTTGGCAGCCTTACAAGTTACAAGTCTCTTATGGTCTATTAGTGTCTGTGTTTTAACTTCATGATTATTGTTTGGACCTTCAGGCATTCAGATGTTAATGACAAATCACAGGTCTTGAGCTAATCATGTCGGAAGGTGCAGAAGTTGATGAGCGTGTGGACTTTGATGAGGAAAACTACATGGAAGAGATGGACGATGATGTGGAAGAACAAATATATGATGAGGGAGTAGATGGAGGTGGTGACGAGAATGAAGAGAATGTTGAGGAACATGAATATGAAGATTCAGTAGCAGAAACTTGTGGGAAAGACCAATATCCTGAAGCAGATGGAAGTGACATTGTAACTGAATCTGTGGAAAATGAGCAAAAGCCATCTTCCATTGATGAAAATGAAAAGGAGAAGCATGATGAACTTCTTGCACTTCCTCCTCATGGTTCTGAAGTCTTTATTGGTGGACTTCCTCGAGATACATGCGAAGATGATTTAAGAGAAATGTGTGAGCCAATTGGTGATATTCTTGAGGTTGGAAATCTGGCATATTCACTTGATATTAATACCTTTATCTTTTTTGTTGGCAAGTAGTAGAGAAAGTTTGATCACCAGTAATAATTTGATCTTCTTGTTACTTTGCAGGTGAGACTTATGAAAGATAGGGATACAGGAGATGTTAAGGGTTATGCTTTTGTGGCATTTAAAACAAAAGAGATTGCACAAAAGGCCATTGAAGAGCTACATAACAAGGAATTTAAGGTATTTGTGGTGTTATTTGAAAATTATATTGTCCTTAACGATGATGAAAATTTTACTGTTTGGTAATTGATTATATTTTATTTTTCATTATATCAGGGTAAAACTTTAAGGTGTTCTGTGTCTGAAACGAAACACAGATTGTTTATTGGTAATGTTCCAAAAAACTGGACAGAGGATGAGTTTAGGAAAGTCATCATGGGTGTTGGTCCTGGAGTTGAAAACATTGAGCTGATTAAGGTGCAGTCTTGAACTGATTTGTGCTTTTGGCTTACATTATCATGGTCGAAGGCCCACCTTTTCAGTGCCATTTCATATTATCTATTACAGGACCCCCAAAATGCAAGCAGGAATCGTGGGTTTGCTTTTGTTTTGTATTATAATAACGCCTGTGCTGATTATTCTCGAAAAAAGATGTCAAATGCAAACTTTAAGCTGGATGGTAATACCCCGACTGTCACATGGGCAGATCCAAAGAACTCATCTGATCATTCGGCATCCTCACAGGTAATTTTCTGCTTGATGATGGAACATTGTTGCTAAAATAGGTTTAAAAGCTGTTTGCCTGTCGTATGTTCATTTGATGTTTGATATGATATATATAGTGGAGCATCCCTGCTTCTCTTTTTCCCTTTGATGTATAATTCATAAAGGAAGCATTAAAGATTAGTTAGTTAGTAGTTTAGATAGTTGGGTAGTTAATTAGTTGGGTTTTGTTAGAATAAATGCGCAAGGGAGGAGCCTATATAAAGGGGTCCTATGTGTGAGTCAGGTTATGCTTAATGATAAAATCCGGGAAATATATTTTCCATCTCTTCATCTCTGTTTCTCTACCCTATTCCTCTGCCTTCTATTTCTATTTCTCCTCTCGCCCCTTTTCTATTCTGTTTCTCTCTCCTCATCTCCTTCTACCATATTAGTGGTATCCAAAGCTTATTTTTCCTACTTTATATGCCCGAAACATGCTCCCAAACAGCATTGAAGAAGATGACAGATCAAACAGTTGAATGTTTATGTACCGTAGAAATCCAAATAGACGCGCTCATGGCTCAAATCGCCTTAATTGTGTGAACAGTGGATGAGTCACACATCACTGGAGGCTCCAATAACAATGAAGGGGGTGGCCATACAGGCCATGACCGGACCAGCAAGAGTATCAACCTCCGACTTGATTCACAAAGATGGAAATATAAAGGGGTCCTATATGTGAGTCAGGTTATGCTTGATGATGAAATCCTGGAAACATATTTTCTGTCTATCTCTGTTTCTCTACCCTATCCCTCTGTCTTCTATTTCTATTTCTCTCTTCTCTCTCGTCCCTTTTCTATCCTGCTCCTGTCTCTTCATCTCCTTCTACCATATCACCCTTCCTGTTTTCTTTTCCTCTTCTTTCCTCAACTCTGCTCTGTCTAAGCCCATGGGTATGGTTAAATTTCATTTTGCTCCTGAAACAGAGCTCATAAAATATGGAAACATGTATATCTTTGAAAAGTTATTCAGGTCAGGTGTTCAGATTTTCGGAGTTACATTTTTGAACTGCCAACTCAACAAGTGTCCTGGCAACTTTCTATGAAATTCAGCCTTCAGTAGACCAAACTTTAGGTGAAGAGTATAAACAAATAAAAAAGAACTACAACCACTCATACACTTCAAGGCTAATTATGTGAACTTATATGAAGTATACGAATAAATAATCTGATTAATTAATGAGAATCAACAAGAAGTTGGACTTAGTTTCCCAACATGACTGTGTGGAGTTCAATGGAGATAAACATGTAACGTAGAAGGTAAACTGTGTTAAGCTTGATTTCTTCTCATTGGAAGGTAATAATTGAGATAAAATAGTCACAATGAGGATGCACACTTTTAAGGCTGATAACTTCTTACTTGAAGGTAGAGATGGTTTCTATTCACCAGAGGCGTTGTGTGGGTTTTTTCTGTGAGACCCAAGATATATGGTGATTTAGGATTGGTTGATGCTTTGTGTTGAGTGCAGCAGTTTGCAATAACTGGGGAAGTATTGAAAAACCTATATAAATAGTATTCTTGATGGACCAGGAGATATTCGTTATCAGGAGTCCTAAAGTTTATTATTGTTCAGGATTTGTACAATTATTTTTAGGAGTTTGTCTTGGAGTCAACCTTTAACTTCCAAGATACTTTGGGCGTTGAAGTCCTAAAGTTTATAAATGAGAGGAGAGGTCTGGCATGATGAGATGATGGGTGTGCTGTTGGCATTGAAGTTTTCTCATATGTCATGTTTGTGCTGTTATGGTGAATTTTACTGGAAGAGATGAAAATATGAAATCATAAATTCATTTATCTGCAGCATTATTTACACAGTAGGTGATATATCCGACTTATCAATAAAAGAATTGGTTAGAGGTGGACATGCTCATATGAACTTTTCTTTAAAAAATCAATATTTTCAGGATGCTTGCTGACAATAATTGTGCCCAAGGGAGTAATGGAATTTAAGAGGGCAAGTAGCCAGTGAAGGAGATCACTTGTTGATAACTTTATATTTTAATTATGTTTATTTGGCACCTAAAAGAATATATTCAGATAATCTGGTGTGATGATGAAGAGGCATGGCTGTGGGAAGATGTGAAGAAAGCTAGATACAGAACAGCCTTTACTGTACTAATTCTATTGGTTCATCATCATAATGCTTTGTCCTTTCAACATGATTGAGGCACTGTGACTTCCATTTTGCGTGTCAACCAAAAGTACATCCATGGAGCATATTTTTGTGATACTTCTCTCTCTCTCTCTCTCTAGTTTTTTCCGAAAAATGAAAATTTCCATGTTTTATGTGAAGAGAGTTCTGATATTTTTTAAATGACACAATCTTAGCCAACAATTTGCACTCTAACCCAAGCCAAAAGGTGATGAACCCAAAAGACCAATCAGTTTGGGTTCGGTTGTTTTCTCAGTTTTTGCCTTTCTTAATGGTGCTTGCAATAATTATGTATTCTCAAGTCACCTGCATTTTAAATATACTAGGCCATTTTATGAATAAAGGCAAATCACGTAATATATTTTTCTGCCTGCAGTAAAAATTGTACCCAGTCATTGGATAATTAAAAGGTAAAGCATGACTGTGAAGAGATCAATCAAGTTGAGCAAATCAAAATCACAAGATACTGGGGTTGAAAACCCCATTCCTGAAGAATAAACCTTGTTATACTTGTGAAATTATGAACAACAGAGGGAGAGGATTGATTGAGGCTGACAATCTGATGGAGGATGAAAAGGGGTTAGAAAAGATATTAATTGTTGATACTTGGTTTATTAGGAATTATTTTAATTCTTAATAAGAGTAGAAGCATTTTAATGAAGAATAAATTAGGTAGAATTTGGTAGTTTAATTATTTTGTTTTGATTAAATATGTTTATATGTTGAAGTTATCCTTAGGCTCCCTATAAATAGAACTAGTATAGTAAGACTTCCAGTGGATGACATTTGGTTTTGGATGAGGAGTTTTGAGAAGACGAGCGATCAAGCTTTCCTCAATGGAGTTCAATTTTGGAGAAGAAATTGAGGTTGAAGAAGGAAGCATCTAGGGATTCATCCACATCAAGCATCTCCACCTTATTGGCAAAGATCATTGTAGATTGATAACAACTTACAGAGGCTACTTTCAAATGGTATAGAGATGAAGGTGGCTTGGGTGAAAAAAAGGATGAAAGGGAAGGAGAAAAATGTTGAGTATTAGATGAAACTTAAATAGGTTTTCGATATGGTAGAAGGAGATGAAGAGAGAAGAGGGAAATAGAATAAAATAGAGGAGAAATCGGAAAGAAATGAGTGATGAGAGAGAAGAGAGAAAAAGGAAACAAAGGTAGAGACAAAATTGAATATATTTCTTGGTTTTTCACATTAAGTATAACCCGAGTCATATGGGACCCTTTATACAAGCCCTCCCTTACGTTCTCATTCTAACAAAACCTAGCCACCCACCTATCTAACTAATCTTTAATATTTTTTTTATGAATTACACATTAGTTTGATTCATTCAAGCGAAAATTACATTGTTTCTTGTAAGCCAAAACGAGGCAGACTTAAAGTGGCTTGTAGTGTAGTGGGCTTTAATAACCTAATAGGCCTAGCAAGGTTTTCTTGTAAGCCCTCAAGATAAGTCTGCATCAAGTAGTCTTCTTATAGGTCAAGCTTGCACACAATCTCATGTAACGAGTCGTCGTAGTCGGCTAGCATTCCTATTTGTCGCAGACACATCAATTAGGCCTTGGGAGCCTCATAGGTAGGTCCAAACCTTTTCTTTATGCCTTCTATATAGTCCTCCCATCCCATCATGTGTCCCCTTCTTATGTTGGCCAATTCCTCCATTGTTCTTGAAGCCTCTAGTGGTGCATGTCTCATCCACTGTACGCACAAGTTGGGCTATTTGGGCTGTGAGTGCTTCTATTTGAGTTTCAATAGGATGTAAACATTTGTTAGTTTGCTCTGCCATCTTTAATGTTGTTTGGGAGTGGGTTACGAGCATGTAAGGCTGGATACCATTGGTATGGTAGAAGGAGATGAAGAGAGAAGAGAGAAACAGACTAAAACAAAGGAGAGATAGGAAAGAAATACAAGTGATGAGAGAAAAGAGAAGCAGAGGTAGAGAGTGCATTGAATATATTTATGGGTTTTTTAAAGAACTGGATCAAGCATAACTTGAGTCATATAGGACCCTTTATATAGGCCCTCTCTTATGCTCTTATTCTAACAAAACCTAAACTACCCAACTGTCTAACTATTAACTAATCTTTAATATTTCTTTTATGAATTAATTACACATCAGTTTGATTCATTCAAGCCAAAATGACATTGTTTCTTGTTAGTGGAGGTGCAGTGGATGGCAAATTAAGTGGAGAGAAGCTGTATACTAAGTACTATTGATATTTGATACAACTGTGCATTCTGCTTTCATTGATATAGGTTGATCATGGATAAAATGGTTCAGCTTGTGTAGATATATTCTAGAATATCTATCATATAAAACTAACAATAACAAGTATCGATGTCCTGCAGGCTTAGTAGATACCAGGTCAGTTGGGTTAATTTGTTGCAAAATCTTGTCAACTTGAATTTGACCTGAACCAACTGAAATAGGCATAAACCCCAAACTAACTTAGCTTGGGCTTTTTCAGTGCTGCTTGGGGTTGGTTTGCATTTAGAGCAAGTTACTAGGTCTAGAACACTGGATACTGAATTTAAGATGAAGTATGCTTCTACTGATATGATACTTTTTTTTTTTTTTAAATCTCCTTGTGGGATATTCATGCATTATTAATTAGAATAATTTGCCCTAGCATTGTAGAGGGGTATTTAAACCATTTTAAAAACCATGGAAACCAAAGATCTGCAGTAACATTATGGTAGAAGCTCATGACAATTATGAAGGAAAAGGAAAAATCTATTAAATTAAATAGAGCAAGAATCTCACTCTAATATACTTAATAGCCAAATAGGACGATCTCCAAGAGAAAACCAGGTTTAT